ATTGATCAGTGGAAGTCTTGCAGCTATTTTCTTTTCTCTGTTTTTCTGCTTTTTGCTGCTTAGTTTAGTTTCTTTTTTTTCTTGGGATCTTAAGGTTCAGTTGGGGATATATAACTGCTTAAGATTCATGTATTGTTTTCTGCTTATTTAGGCCACCTGCGTGTGGTTCTCCCTTTTATCGGCTTCAGACTCGGTCTGCTTTGTATTCAAACTTTGGTTTGGTTTTTATGAGCATTTTTATCGTTTCGTCAAAAAAAAAAATAAAAAAAAAATAAAACTCTCACCAGTATTATCCATATAATTAAATAGTACAAATCCATTATCCTCACAAATCATATCGATTATAATTCACTAGTCATCCCCTCACATTATTTTAACTATTCATCAATTCCCATCACATTTCTCATACTCTTACATCAAACCAACTTTAATTATTTATTTCAAATGTTATTTTGGTAGAAACTCAAATTCCACTCCAATCTAGCACAATCGATATTTTTCAAAATTTACTACAATTATCCAACAAATTCAATCAAAACCAAAATAACTTGTATCTAATCACTCTCTTAGGGTAACAAAATGAAACAGAGAGCATATGGTATATATAAAATTAATATTAAGTGGATTTATGGGTTAAATTCAGTTAATTTTGAATAAAGCTAATTGAGTAGAAGATTTAATGAAATATTGAATTTGTATTTAAATAATATTTAAATTGTAATTATTAAAGTTAGTCATGACTACGGTTGGAACCGGCTCAAACAGTTGACTACAGTTCGTGAGCTGGCCTGACGTTTGGTCCGAGCTGGTCACGGTTCATGCTTAAAACAAATATTGAACCGTCGATTCTGGGTCGGACCGGAACCGCCGATTCAACGTCAATTTTTCTTATTATTTTTATATTTTATTTTTTTTGTCATATTCTCGGTTCAAAACTGAACCAGTCCTAACCGGAGGTCTTTTATGAACCGGGACCGCCGATTCATTGAATAGCCCCGGACTGGTTCCAGTTCAACCAAAAACTGAAAATGATATGTTCTTAAAAATATGGGAGATGTGATATATACGGATGATTAATTAATATTATTTAATTATATTTATAGTGATAATATTGAGGAGATTTGAACTAACTTAAATTCAAATTTATGTTAAAGAATGTAAAAAAAAAAAAAAAACTACCCGGTCAATTAAAACCGATTAATTTATGTAGCTAACCGTGCCCTACGGGTTTGAGAGGGGAAAATTAGTGTCAATTAGGTATGTCAATAAAACCCGTAGGGTCGGGTTACCTGCATTTTTGGGTCGGGTAAACCCGAGATGCAGTAGTGGTTCAAATAAATTTCCCTTATAATAAATCACTAGTGCACGTTTAGCTACATAAATTTATCACTAGTGCATGATATCAACAGTTCATTTTATTTTCATCTTATTAATATGGTTCAAATAAATTTCTCTTATAATAAATCACTAGTGCGTGGCCCGTGCGATGCACGGGAAAACAATATTACGATTGCGTTCTAAATTAAATATGGCAAGCCGCATATGGATTGATCTCTGATTCTGTCATTTTTGTGGGTCTTCTTTCCATCTCACAACAAATAAATTAATAGAGATTTACCCATCGCTTTTAAATTAAATCGTATTGGACACAGTCCGACCGGATGGATCGAGAACCAGTTTATAATCAGTCTAGTTCACTTAAATAAAATATTTGCTATTGAATCCATCAACACCAGTCGGTTGAACTGGTTGGATCGATACGACTTTCTAAATAAATTTGGCTATATTTAAAATTATATTAAATAAAATTACATATTTAAATAAAATAGAGATTTATAAATTGTTTATCAATTAATTTAAACATTTAATTTTTAAATTCTTTTGATATTTTTTTTTCGAAACGATAGAGATATTATATATCAAAATGCACAACTGTGCAAAAAAGCAGCCCAAAGCTGAATAATACAACCCGGAACTAAAAACTGAGAGGACGGATTGAACTGTCCGCCTAGAACCTCGCTAGCCACGCTAGAATAAACACAAACACAAAACTAAAAAAAAACAACGACACACCAACTAAGATCGCTCCCCACAGGAGAATAGATTCGCCCCCCAAAGGGGAATCAGCACCGGGGCCAACGGCCCAAACCTAAAAAACAAGACCAAAAAACACAAACACAGACTCAAACCAAACGACAGAGAAAGCAACAACACAGACAAAAACAAACTAATTACAACTACTAACGACCCTCCCCCGAAGACTGGCGAACTGAAGAAGCAGCAACCTCCGACTCCCAGACAGGCCCCTGGCCAAAACCCAACCCCCGAAACTGCATAAGGCCTATACAAGAGCCAGGTCTCCGCCCCCGAACCTTACCAAAGAGCCGGAACCCACCGACCGAGAGAGACGAGTACAGCAACCCCAACCGGAACAACCCAGACACAGCTAACACCACTAGCAAAGCCCAAGAAACCCGGATCCCTATCTTCCAACAATCGAGAAAGAAAGGGATAGTCGCTCCATACCCGCATTCCAACCCCGACAGCCACCACGCACAGCACGCGACGGCTACTGAAGCCCCATCCCGATCACCAAGCAACTCAGCCCCACAGAACCACCGCCGCTGCCCAACCGACACCCTCTCCCCTGAACCCCAAGCCACACCCTGAACCCCGGACCCCAAGCCTCCACCCTGAGCCACAGACCATAGCCCTCAGCCAACAAAACCCGAACCGTCGGCATAGCCTCAGGACGCCCAATCGAGCCCAACCAACAAGACCCAACAAACCCGAACTGCACCTCCGACCACCAACCGCACCAACAGGGAACAGGAGACCAACCAAGGAAGAGGATGGCAACAAACTCCCAGCCAAACCCCACGACATCGCCGGACGCCGAAGGCCACGGACAATGACCAGGAGCCACCCACATCTCAACCATCGCAAGCGAGAGGGAGAGAGACGAGGTGAAACAGCGACAATAGAAAAGGGGGAAAGTTACCTGAGGAGGACGGGCGGCTAGCGACAGCCGCAAATCCGGCCTTGCCGCCGCTGGAGGAGGCCAAGAACGGCCGATTGAAGGAAGCTGCGGGCGTAGGGTTTTTTTGGGAAGAAAGGAAGCTGCGGGATGATTCTTTTTTTAGATTTTGAGTTCAATTCTTCTTTTGATATTTAAGTAACACACTTTATTCAATTTATTACAAAAGTACTATATATATATATATTAAAGCATATTTTTAAAGAAAAAATTAAATTGTACGATTTTTTAAAATTAAATTATATGATTAAATTGTATGATTATATTAAAGCATATTTATAAATTAAATTGTATGATTTTTAAAGGAAAAATAAGAAAAATAATAAAATTATTATTTATAGTCTGCATTAAATGCTGACTTATTTTTTGCTACTATTTTAATAAATATGATAGCTCTTTATATAAGTATAGATGTCTCAGTTAATTATTAGGATATTTTGTGATTGGGTATCCCACCATGTGTAATATAATATTATTTTGCATTAAAAATTATACAAATAGCACCATCCATCTCTTTCATTAAAAAAAACCCTCAAGTGGCTGCCGAGAAAAAATCGCCGCCCTTGGTCTTTCTCCCTTGCGCCTCCTTTTCTCCCCCGGCGGTAGTCCGGGATTCTCCTAGGGTTGCAGATCCCCTTTCTGCGTTCGCCATTTCAGGAGCTCCGATGGGCTTGGGCTGGACGGAGGACGGTGGCAGGTGAGTGGGTGAGGTCTTGGTCGCCGTGGTCGGATTGATTGAGTCGGTGCTTCGCGCTGGAACTAGGGTACGCTCGACTAGCCCTTGGGGCTGTCTCGCCGTCGATTGGCATGGGTCTGTTCCGCTGGTGTTTTGGTGATTGTGGGAGGTGAGTTTCTTCACTGGCTTCTGAGTGTTGCGTGAGGCTGCCTTCTTCTTTTGTCGATTTTGTCTCGGTTTGCTTTCGGTTGCGGTCGGCAGGTACCTTATCTTTCCTGCGGGTTGTGGTTATTTCCATCGGTCTGGATGGGGCGACTGGGCTTGGCACCGTCTATTCCCTTCTTCCGGCTCTTTGTCTTGAGTTTGAGTGTCTGTTTGGATTCTGAATGCGCTGTGGCTTCAGTGATTTCGGGTCGGCTGGGCACTCGGCTTGTAATGTTTGCCGGGTTGGGATGAGTGCGGTTTCTGTGGTTGGAGTAAGGGTCGGCTTTTGGGAGTGTTTTCGGGCTTGGGTCTCTGTGTTCGCTAGGCCTTTGGCAGTGGTGAGCGGGGTTCCGGTGCTTTGATTTACTCTTGTAGCAGGTTTGTTCGAAGGCAATGTTGGAGTCTCTGCTGAGGGAGGATTATCTGTTAGTAGTAGATTGGTATAAGTGTTTTTAGTATTTTCAGATTAGGTTGTATCTGTGTTTTGTGTGTGTTCTGTGTTTTCGGTTTTTATCTCCTTTTGGAGTGTGTTTTTTGTAGTCTCCCTTCTGTAGGAGTATTGTGTATCCTGTAGGAGTATTGCGTATCCTGTCTGTAGGAGTATTTTGTCTCATAGGTGTGAGTGTTTTGTGAGATTTTGTTCTCTGGCCGTGAAGGGTAGTGTAGGGGAACACTTGTTGTGTTTCTCCCGTTTGATTTCATTTCTAGTCTAAGCTAGTAAAGGTTGTCAAGTGTAATTCGTTGATTACCGGTTTGTACCTCCGAGTTTGTGGTAATACAATTTTATGTTTGGCAAAAAAAAAATCTCTTTCATCCACCTTTGTCTAAATTAATCTAATCTCCTTCATCCACCTCTTGTACCGATCATGAAGTCGTTGACTAAAATAATCTAATCACCGGACCCGATTCAGAAGCCAATCGTCGACCGTTAGTCCAGTCGGCAGTCGGCATCCCGTTGTTGCTCTGAAAAGGGCCACTCAAAGACAACAAAACCCCAACAAGTTCACCGCCACCGTATCCAAATTTAGGGCGGTCATCAGGAGTTCACTGGTCAAGACAACGAACTGTCGGGTTCCGTCTAGCTCAATATTGTTTCCGAGTAAGGGGCGGCGGAGGTGGTGGCGGAGCAACTGGCTGTCGCACATATAGCCGCCACTCGAACCCACATATCATCCCACCACTGTTGCTCGCCGCTGCTGCATGACAAACCCAAAAGCCAACCGTCTTCCCACCGTTATTGCTCACCCCTGCCAGCTGTCGGCCCTACGACTCACACTCAGTTTCTTTTTTATTTTTCAGTGAGTGAGGGGAAAAGATAAAATTGGCAAATTTTGTTTTTGTTTGAATCAATTAGAGGGCAGTGTCTTGATTAACTAATGGTATGTTGTGTTCATCATTCTAGTGGATCTTAAACTGTTTTTTGAATAAACAAATTTCATGAAGAAATGTGAAATTAATTCTAAATAAGGGCAAAAATGTAATTTTCAGTTATAATTATCAGCTATTAACCAAACAAAACAAGTTAATAGGCTGATAACACCTTAAATTTTTTGTGGGAATTAATCAAATACAATCAATAAAAGCAACCATACTGGCTAAGAGAAGTGAATAAAATAAGTGAACGTCGAAGACAAAAGAGGGATAAAATAGCACCCAATCTTGCTATGAAATATAGCATCAGCATATTACACATCAAGTCCATAGTAAATGTGTAACAAGCTCATCCTCACTACAATTTACCGTATGTCAGCTTGATCTTCCGGTAATGTCCATGATAGAGCGCTCTACTCCACTCATTCGTGCATTCCAATATATAACGAATCTGCTCTACAGGTGTGGATTTTTTTTCAGTGGTAGGACAAATATGAGCCAATGCATCTTGGACCGGTTTTGAGGGGCTGTAGCCTAAGAGGACTAAATGAATAAGCGCCTCCATAGCACATAAATACATTTTACTGTGCATAGTAATGTTCATCCTGATGACGTTGGAATCCCATTCCCGTTCAGTGAAACGAAAGTCCCGACCAAAATCATGTCCCGTGTTAATAACATGGATGAAAAGAGAGTCAAGCTTTTTGCGAACCTTTCTTCCCAAGCAAGACTCCTGAATTTGTTCGTAAAGACTACAAAGGTACCTCCAAGGGTACTCATTTTCTGGGTCTTTTACTATGGCGTCTAACGCATAGTCAATTTCTGCAATCTCTGTTTTGCATCTGAGTATGACAAAGAATCTCTGCAAACAAATGATACAATACAAAGATACAAAACAGAGAATTAATTTTCAATGACAAGAAATTGGTAAGATTTGTTTTCATGATGAGGAAAGCAATGTGTAACCAAGGATAGATCTTATGTTAAAACCAAAGATCCAGATTCAGTATCATGGAAACATACAGGAACTGTCAAATGCATTAGACCCTCAACGGACAAACACAGTGGAACGACAGAATAAAATGGTACATCTAGAATATATACCCTCGAAGTAATATATGTATATATAAATATATATATTCAGATTCTTTGGATGCAAAATAAGAGTAAAATACCTGAGCCCAAGCGCGCTCATTATAAATGTCCCTTTGAAGGAGTCCATTGCAAAACTCAAGTTCATTTTCCCACCCTCCAAATGTATCAAGAACCCACTGTATAAGGAAATGATGTAATCTAAAGCTACCATTGACAAACAAAAACATTTTAAGAAGACAAGCCATGACCCCCGACCCCACAAAAGGAAAGGTGAACTCCAGCCTACCTTCCTATGGAACCAAACAAGCTCGTTCTTCTCATCCATATACAGATGATTCTTTGTGACCAGAAGTTCAACACTTGCAGCCTTGGTTCCAAGCTTCTTACAGAGTAAGCGCCTTTGCCGCCTACAGACATCGATATGTGACTATGGCAATAAAAAAGGATTTAAGTCTTGATATGCACATGCTACATCAATATTGAGAAAATGAAGCTGAAATATTTGTGTGAAGAATAAAACATTACAAATTTTGATTAGCTGAAAAATAAAGTATAATGGTGTTTATAAAATTTTCAACAGGTACAAAGCATTGACAATATTTATAACGTAATTGTAACTCCAATGGATCTCCATATCAGTTTCCCGTACTCAGAATCCACAAAAGTATTAACAATTCAATAATGTGAATGTGAATTAGAAGAGAACAATATTATGGCCCACAAGTAACACACTGCACATTAAGTCATTAACCATCGATTGTGTGTGTTGTGAGTATACTTAGATTAGCATCAGTTAGTAGGATTGGTTAAAAAATATGCAGTGAATTTAACTTGAAGTTCATTTCCGAGGAAGCTCCTTTTTGTTACACAAGTCATCCATAATGTACAAATCAAGTACCATCCTGCAACCAAGGAATAATATAGTTTTCATACCTGAAATAGAAGCATAAGCGTGATAAAAAGTTTCGATAATCTGGGAGTTGTTGATTTCACAAGTTTATATTATACAGCAATGACTATATATGATCAGATTTGCTCATGCATTTACAGAAATCTTATGAAGTAATACTTAGTCCCATTCCCATAGATTCCAGCTTTCTAGGGATTCCGAGTATCTTCTCAACGAATAGATCCACTTCCACTATTAAGTATACATAATTGCTGACTAAGATACACAAAAGTTTTAGTTTCAACAAAAAGCACACGAATCAATGACAGGATTTCTTTTTCCTTTTTTCTGTTAAACTGGAATACAAGCAAACAAAATATATTCACAAGTCTGTAGCATACCAAAAATCGCTGCTGCAGGGATCCATTTTTGTAGAAGTCCATACCAAATCGGCATGGCATTCGGATAGTTGCTCCTGAAATTGAAATAAAAAAAAGAAAACGATAGCTTATGTTCATTTGATAAGTAGCTCTTAATTGCAAAAGATAGCAGGAGGAGGAGGAGGAGCTTTAATCAATGAATAGAACGTGAAACAATTGGCCGACTGCTTTATCAACTAGTGTGTGTATGTAATCCCCAACTCCAAAGCTATCAACTAGGGAAACTCATCCTTCATCAATCACGATTAGTATTATAAAATATAAACCAAGCAATGGAAAACAAAATTCTGTGCCAAAGTGGAAGGCTAAATAGAAAAGGCATAGAGAAGAAATAGACAAACAGATAGACAAGAGCGAACTACCGCATCACCGTTGATCTCCATATCACTTCTGTCAGGTGAGCTTAGCGGTGTCACTTTTCTCAGTGACAGTACAAGATACTCCAAGGGCTGCCTGTTGACATCCTGCAAGAGCTGTCTCAGTCCACTGCATTGCTGATCTTTCCTACTTTTCTCAGCCATTATCTCAGATAAAGTGACCAAACCCTTTCCAATCTTACCCTACAAAACCTCCAAAGAAAAAGGACATACGAGCATAAATTCCTTAAAAAAAACATAGGCGGCACAACATGTCAGGTCCAGAAAGAAAAAAACTTCCTTGCCCTAATCAGTTACTAATGCCATAGCAATAAAGCAAATACTAAACCCTATCAACTATACATCAATAATTCACAATAATGCATCAAGGCATCCGAACAAGGTACAATTTAACTAGTACAAACACCCGATGACAAAAAGACTTCACTTCCAAAACATCCTCAACACTAAAATCTTAGAAGTTCAAAGGTAGAATAACTCATCCCATTCCGCTCAATTCCTTTAACCACTACACAGGTGCAAGTTTCCAGATTCTTTCTGTTCTAGCACATCCAAAGAAAATAAGCTTCACTGTTCCTCAGTCTCATTGCAGATGAAATTAAACTTCACTCCCCTTTTTCAGAGAGTAGCTTTGGTTGGTGGGGTATTTGAGAAGCATTTCCATACTATACTTTATTTTGCTTTATTTTGCCATCGACATGTAGTTTCCAGATCTTTTTTTCTTTTTTTTTTTTTTTTTT